TGAGATAAATGTATAGTATATATCAGGTGCCTCAAAGAGAGCCCAGGTTCTCAACTGGCTCAGCCATGTTAATATTGTTATTATTATCCATTCTGTATCTGTGTTTTTCTGGCTAAATAAACTGTTTCAATTCAAACTGTTTCAATTCAATTCAACATACACACCTCAAAGTAAGTGTACTTTACTGCATTTTTTTTTTTACTTTGTATGTATTTTTCTGTGAGCTGGAACCAATTACCCAATATTCCATTGAAACAATGGATTCGGTTAACGAACGACCTTCTGGAACAAATTGTGTTCGTTAACCGAGGGACCACTGTACAGTATTGTAGAGGAAAGCCTTCGATAAAGACGGTTCTACTAACGACGATTCATATTTACGACCCTGGTTAATTTAGGACCCAATTCAATTTACACCGTTATTTTATTCGTATTTATGATGAAAATAGAATAAAAAAAATAAAATAAAATTATCATATAAACAATACCTAAATCCCGATAAGTACAGTAGGATCTCACGTTTCGCGACTAATTGGTACCAGTTTTAGCATCACAAAATTTTAAATTGCGAAACGAGTGACATTGAAATACGGGACATGTAAATAAGCCAAATCGGTTCTGCGGTGTTACCCGAACCCCCCTATAATGACCTACATCCCACCCAGAAAATGACATTACTGTAACGTATTCATACATACTGTTGATAATAATATTTATATACAGTCGGAGCTTAACATACGCGGGTTTATAATACACGGATTTGCAAATACGCGGATTGCCCTGCCGGAGGAATATTCTGTACATTGAAGTACATTCAAATCGCGCGCCATTATTCAATCCTGCACTGAACACGGATATCTTCTCAGAACTCACACACACACGAGTAGCTTCTCTACCTAGCCAGTCTGCTGTAAATCCACGCTTGTGTTGACATCAGTATTGTAGTTGCAAAAAATATTACATTTCCGTGGAAATGGCTTATATCAAGCACAGTATGAATAGAATATCACTATTATAAGAGTATTTTAACCAAAACTACTAAAAAACGAAAGAAGAGATTCTTTTGGAACATCAAAAGCAAGGTAAAGTCTTTTTGTTTTCATGTAGTTTATCCTAATTTACATTGAAATGCATTACGCTTCAGCAAAAACTACTATTTATTTCTGAGAATATGGAATGTAATATTTTGCTGAAATAGACGTGATGATGAGGTGGAGTGACGAAAGCAATGACTCGCTTTTCATTCAGTGATGTTACCAGAATTGCTTTTCATGAAGTTAAAACTACAAATAGCAATAATATTCTATCCTAATTCAATGGGGATGTTAATTTTTTTTTAATCTGAAAACCATTCGAAAAGCGATTACGGTAAAGATTTTTGAAATAAAAGAAAAGCTTAAAGTCATTGTTTTCGCTTCCTCATTTATTTTATCCTAATTTCTTCCACTAGAATAGACGTCATTTCAGCAAAAGTTTTATTTTGAATGTGGTATATCACACAGTATGAATATAATATCATTGTAATATAACAGTATTTTAACCGAAAACTATTAAAAAATTATAATATCCCCTAAATATTTGAAATATAGGGGTAAAGTCTTTGCTTTTCGCTTATGTATTATATCTTATTTATTAAATACATCTACGTTTGCAAAATCTACGATGATTTCGAGAATATATTCATTCAGGCACAAAGCGAGGGTAAAATATACATGTGTTGCAACATTTTTTAATTTGAAATGATGTAGCTAAACACGCACTTTCCAGCCCTGTTCAAGGAGAAGACTGGGAGGAGTTAGTTGGTGCTTAAGACAATGACAAGGAAAATGATTGATGGATTTTAATGAAAATATTCAGAAAGACCCTGGCACCTGTCAGGTGAAAAGTGGCTGCTGAAGGCTTCCTGGAGCAGGTAGAGGACGTAGGATTAGGGAGCGACGAAAGAGTATCATCACACTGAGCTGACCGAGAGGATCTACAGGAGTTAGTAGACTCAGGCAAGGAAGAGGAAGGAAGGGAAAAGAGGATGAGGAAGAGCACCAAGAAATAACGTTGGAGAAGTTGGGGAGAGACCAGGAAGTCATTGCTGAGGCACTGAAAACCTGGCCTATAGTATGGACCCTCCATGGTGCAGGCCCTGAAATTCACAAGTAGGATGGATGATTACTCCATACAAAAAAAAACATCATGGAAGAAATGAAAGAAAGAGACGTATAACTCCTATCACGAGGTTTCTTGGATCACCGAAGGAGAGATTTAACACTATCAATCACTGGCGGCAGTGAGGAAGGAAGAATCTAACTGCTGTCCCCTACTTCTACCACCCAAGAGTGGGAATTGAGTGACTTGATGATCCCATGGACAATCGCCCACGCTGAGAGATAGGTACTGTACAGCAAAGTGAAATTTTTATCTTTTTTTTTTTAATAGCTTTTTCTTGCCATGTTTATTGTTTGTAAAAATGTGCATTAAAAGCAAGAAAAAGCAGTTCATAGTACTAAAGAGTAGGAAGTGGAGGTGTAGTTATTCACAAAAGACGTAGTTCATGAAGGTGGTAGGATGGTGTGAGGAGGGTTGAAAGGAGCGAAGCTGGGAGGCGGGGACCTTGGACGTGTAGGAGAAAGTGAGATACAGCCAGTAAGACATGTGTGTATGAATTTATTTTTATAGCTATTTTGCATTTTAATATTAACACAGGCATTACGCTTCAAACAAAAAACCACCATTTATTTTGAGAATAATAGATATTTTTTACAGCTGATGTACGTACAGTGGCGGATAATTCAGGACGAAAGCAATGACTTTCTGTTTCTTTCGTTCAAAAGATGTTACCGTAATCGCTTTTCGAATGGTTTTCAGTTGTGGGATTATAAGGCTAATGATAGGATAGAATATTATTGCAATACAGTAAGAGTACAACAGTTTTTTAACTGAAAACCATTCGAAAAGCGATTACGGTAACATCTTTTGAATAACGAAAGAAAGCGAAAGACATTGTTTTCGTTATGATTTTATCCCACTTTCCACTGTAATATGTACGTCATTCCAGCAAAAATATTATATTTCCATATTTATTTCTGATAATACCTATATTCATTCAGTCACAGTTAAGGTAAAATATACTTGTGATGTAATATTTTAATGATAATACGGTATCGTAGTTTTCTTTTGTTTCAAATTTAATTAACAAAGATTGATGTTTCAAATGTAATGAACAAAAATTTATGTACAGTATCTATAAATAAACTTTAATAAATGAATACTTTGTTTTACATTGTCCTGTGCTACCATACCATGGATTTGGCTACTTTGGGCTTGCTATGATGACGCAAGAGATCTGCCCTGGCAACTGTATCGACACTCACAGCTGGTGGTGCGTTGGTGCATCATTTCCATTGTTTACTGGTAGTTACTGGTAAATATTTTTCAACCTAACGAAACTATTACCCGTTTAGAGGTCGACCCCCAATTTTTTGCCAAATAATTTGGTCTTAAAAACTTGAACTGCACACAGGTATATACGGTAAATAAGGACATGGGGGGGACCAGGTTCAGCAGCACATATACGCAGATTTTTAACATCCACGGGTATCTCTGTTACGTAACCCCCGCGAATTCGTATTCAAGGAGTTGTTGGAGCTTCCAATAACTTGACGACATAAACCACTGACTCTTCAGGCTTCCACGCCCTTGACTCTTCAGGCTTCTATGCCCTTAACTCATGAGACATAAAGGCAAGCATGAACTTAGCATGCTTCCCTGTTGGGCACTGTAAACGCTTCTGCGCTTCACCTAACACAAGGATGTAGGGGAGTGCCAAAAAAAAAAAAAAAAAAAAATTCTACATAAACGATCTAGATACTGGGATCAGCAATGACATAAACAAGTTGCGGATGACACCAAAATAGGGCGGCAGATTAATTCAGGGCAGGATGCAAATGCATTACAGGAGGATCCAAATAAACTGCAGGGGTGGTCTGAAAAATGGCAAATGAAATTCAACACCAGCAAGTACAGCGTACTTAATATTGGAAAAACAAATACTAACAATGTATACAGCCTTAACAACATCAACCTAGAGAAGTCGACTTGTGAAAGAGACCTAGGGGTACTTGTAAGCCCGGACCTACAGCCTACAAAACAGTGCGTTAATGTTCGAAATAAGGCAAACAGAGCATTGGGTTTTATATCTAGAAGTGTAAGTAATAAGAGTGCAGAGGTCTTATTGCAACTATATCTTGCTCTAGTCAGGCCACACCTCGATTATGTGGTTCAGTTCTGGTGCCCTTATTATAGAATGGATATCAATTCACTAGAGTCGGTGCAGTGAAGAATGACGAAAATGATTCCGGGACTTAGAAACCTTCCATATCAGGATAGGTTAAAGAAACTTAACTTGCATTCCCTAGAAAGACGAAGAGTGCGGGGAGATATGATAGAAGTATTTAAGTGGGTGAAAGGAATCAATACAGGGGATATAGATAAAGTTCTTATAATATCCGAGCAGGATAGGACTCGGAGCAACGGATTTAAGTTGGATAAGTTTAGGTTTAGGAGGGAGATAGGAAGGAACTGGTTCACAAATAGGGTGGTGGACAAGTGGAACAAGCTTAGCAACTTTGTAGTAAGTGCTGGAATGCTGGAAAATTTCAAAAGGAGGCTAGATAGATTCATGATTGATAGAGAGTGGTAGTAACTCTCGACAGGAGCTGCCATGCACAGGCCAATCGGCCTATTGCAGACTCCTTATTTTCTTATGTTCTTAAACAGTGTCACAAGCAAACAACAGACCCATTTTTCATTCCCTCTCTCTCTTACTTCAATTCTTGCTACTAATTAAAATTATCTGGAACATTAATACACAGTAGATGCACCATATTAATAGATAACCTTATCATGCTACTTTATTTTTCTTCACTCCTTGTCTCCTATTCAATTCCAGTCACCACTTGTTGGGGAAATCAGTGTACAGTGCATATATTTATGAGATAAGAACCTACCTGGTGGAAAGCCTGCCTTTTCTGCCAGATCTACAGCAGCAAGTGCAGACAGTGGTGTGTCTTCAGCTGGCTTTATAACACACGTACATCCAGCAGCCAAGGCAGCTCCAGCCTTACGAGTGATCATGGCATTTGGGAAATTCCACTAGAATAAATAAGAACACTCATACAGTAACATCTACGTAGGTGTGATCCTTTTGTCTGCTACATAATAGAAATACTGTACTCTTTTTTGTGTGTGACTGTTATTAATGCCAGACAGCACTTCCTATCACCAGAAGTAACATAACAGAGATCAGGGATTTTAAACTACTCACATATACTATACTGTACTTTAATTGAATTATTTCAGAATTTTTAATACATTACTTTCAACCTTCAACCACTACTTGAAACTTTCCTGACTGACTAGATTGTATAATATATTACGAGCAGAGGTACTTACTGGAGTAATCATTGATGCAACTCCTATGGGTTGACGAAGAAAGAATAACTCTTTGCTAGATGCAGGACTCTGTGCCACCTCACCCTAATCAAAAAATACAACATACTGTATACAAACCTGCCACTAAGAATTATTGTAGTATAAAAGGTATTTCATAAATCTTCAAAATGAAAGAATAATAATAATAATAATGAGACAGTAATTATCAATTTCTGTACATGGAAATTACTTTAGTACAAGAATTGTGTTTATGCAGACAGGAAAGTTAAGAAAGATACATTTTTCAATCTAAAAGTCATTATGAACAATTTAAGATGAAGAGTACTGTACTGTGCTTACATATATTCTCTTGGCCTCTTCAGAAAACCATTCCAGAAAAGAACTTCCATATCCAATTTCTCCTCGAGACTCAGACAATGGCTTACCGGCCTCAGCAGTCACAATTAATGCCAGGTCCTCTTTGTGTTGTTCCATTAAGTTGTACCAATTTCGGAGGAGAAGTGAGCGCTCCTTTAATGAGCAGAAAAAGTGATAAATTTATCAAAAGTAGCTATTGTATCAGAAACATGTACCGGGTATGTATTCTATACAGGTATCCATTGGTTAGCGTTAATTCGCTTTAGCGAAAAATTTTTTTATACACCCTTTCTTACTAAACGTTACGTCACAATTTGGTTTAGTGTTGACTTGACTCACTGGGAAGGGGGAAAACTGGGATGAGTTGGCTACATATGTCAATGTCATGAAACTGTAAATGTTGTATAAAAATCCTTATAATACCCTAATGTGGCTTACAAATAAAGAAAATATGCACTGTATAATATAAAACTATAAAATAAGAAAAAACAAAGAGTATGGGTGATGTGTGGAGGCAGTGGGCTGTAAATGTGTCACCACTTACCAGACGAGCCACACTCCCTCCCTGATGTGACATCTTGGCACACACACAGAGCACAATGGCAGCAGCATCACATATCTCTGAGTTAACTGGGTGATTACTTGGCTAAACTGTATCATGTCACCCAGAGGATGGAAGGAGCTATTTTTTTGCATAAAATATATGCTTTTGTATTCTATGATGTGCCATGTAGAGTATCAATTTTATTGTTTATCATAGTAATATTTGTTAATTTTTGATGTATGCAAGTTGAAATTTGTTTGAATTGGGATCACCTTGTACTCACTAAATCGTTGAAATCTAAACCAGATTGTTTACATAGCATTTTTGGTGTTTATAAATCCATCATTTAATTTCAAAACCGTTTATAATAAACTCATTTAACAGAGGGAGTACTTTACTCGGTGTTTACAGCCCTGCCATTTGAATGTGTTGTTCACCCTCCGTACTTCTCTGTTATCCCCCGTTTAGCCATGATTTCACTGAACATTAGCTTTTCAGGAACACAACCCCATCATTAAACGAGGGATACCAGTAGTCTCTTTAATTGTACCTTACAACTGAGGCCTAAGGTCAGTTTGTAGTGAAGCAGCTGATTGGCTGGCAGATAGACCTGGGAGAAGTCACTACAGTTTTTTAGTATTAATCTATTGTATTTATATTCTGATATTTTAAGGAATATTGAAATAATTTCTTTTATATTATAAAAGAAGTCAATCGCGAAATTACAATTTGAGAGAAATGTCCTCTTAATATTGTATTAACAATATTCATTGCAGAAATTATCAAATAAGAAATGTGTCCAGTAAATACAAGTGCTCACACAAAAGAACCTGCCAAATACCAAAAGATGAAACCAAATACAGTCAACCCTCACTTTACGCGGTTAATACAACCCACAGGGTACCGCAGAAAGTGAGAAACGCGTAAAGTGAACAACATAACATATGGAATTAATTGAAATAGAGACCGGGCCGACCCCCAAACTCCACTTTTTGACGACACACAACAATGTTGCAGTAAAAATATTATCTTAACTTTATGATGGTATGCACACACAATTAATATAGAAGAGGTTAGGCTAGGAAAAAAAAAGGTTAAGTTAGGAAAAATAAAGGTTAGGTTAGGAAAACTAAAAGTTAGGTTTAACACTTACGTTAGTAGAAGGGATGGGTCGGCATACGGGGATGGAGGCTGGTTCCGAGGCAGAGGGCAGGCTACTGGCCCTCAGGTGAGTCACCATCACTGTCATCCACACTTGTCAGGGCCTCCCTGACAAATCCCTCAAAGTCATCATCACTGTCTCTGTCTCTGTCACTATCACTGGCTTGGGCTGGCTGTGGTGGGTTGTGGGCGAAGAACTCGGTTATGCTTTGCTGACGGCTGGTGTTGATGTTGTCGTGATACACCTTGATGTAGGGCTCCATAGTCTGCAACAGCTGGGTAGTGAAGACTTCATACCGGTTTTCGTCAGGATCATCGGAAAGGAGGAGCTTGACTTTCTCAATACACTCGATGGCACCCCTTACATTACTATGTGATAACTTGCGTTCTTCTTGGGATGACGCACCACCTGCCTCTTCACTGACGTCATCATCATCTAGCATCTCGTCGGTAGTCACATCAGGATCCCTTATCACCTCCAGGATGTCATCGTTGGTGGTCTCGGAGAAGCCTGCAGCTGTAATGCACTGCGCAGCCTCTCTGGCAAGGTTCACTGCTACTGCAACAGTCTAAACCTCACCAGTCACAGATTTACTCTGCCTCCCACCCGGAATACCTTGAAACACATGTCTCCATGCGTGACGAACAGTTGCTACAGACAGCTGATCCCATGCCTCCACCAAGAAGTCCACAGCTTTCTTGAAGTTGAATGTTCTCCAAAATTGTTTCACAAGTACTTCTTGCTCTGCCAACTGTTGTTCCTCGTCATCTTTGCTCTTGCTATCGGTGTCACTCAGGTTACGCAACTCTTCCTTGGTGTTGGTGTAGTCGTTCAGGAGCTTAAATTTCTTGGCAGAGAATGCAGCTTTCACATTACAGATCAATTCTTGGCCCATGGGCTGTATTATAGACGTAGTGTTGGGAGGAAGGAAGACCACTTTTACGTTGGGGTGACGATCTAACAGTAGGGGCGAGTGTCCTGGTGTGTTGTCAAGCAGCAACAAAATCTTGAATGGCACATTCTGTTGCTCACAGAATTTCTTTACATCGGGAACGAAACAGTCATTAAACCAGGAGAGGGACAGTGTAGAGAACATCCACACCTTATGTGCGGTCAGCCAGTGGACATTTAGCTTGGTCATGTCCATGCTCTTGTAGGCGTGCGGCTTGCGTGCTGTGTGGATCACCGATAACTTGAGCTTACAGGTACCGGAGGCAATGGTGATAAACAGGACGGTGATGCGCTCCTTCTGCAAAGTCCGGCCCCGAATCTTGCTGGCATTCTTCACAACGAAGATCTTGGAAGGTAGCTTTTTCCAAAAAAGACCGGATTCGTCCATGTTAAACACCTGGTCGTCGGTGTACTGTGCTTCCTCCATAATCTCACGTAAAAACGGAGGAAATTCCCTAGCCGCAACACGGTCAGCACTAGCTTCTTTACCACTAATGTTGATATTGGTGATCTTGTTCCTCATCTTAAACCTCTGTAACCACCCAGAGGAAGCATTAAAGGGTTTGGGCTCTGTAATTCCCATCTTTCGTGACACTGCAGCATATAGTTCACATGCGTACTCCTTAACAGAGCGCGTGTCCACCGCCATGTTCCGTCGCGCCTGATGCACCAAGTAGCTCACAAGTAATTTTTCCGTCGTGAGAAGCACCTGGTTGTGGAAATACTTGATCATAGAAGCACCTGTAGACTTTGTGATCTTCATGTGCTTCTTTATCTTGGCTGCATCCTTCTTAATTGTCCTGATAGTTGATTCGTTAACACCAAGTTGGCGCGCGAGATCAACCTGTCTTGTTCCTTTCTCCAACTCTTGTATGATCTTGTACTTAATTTCGTAGCTTAAGGAACGTCGTATCTTCTTTGGCTTAGGGCGGCTGGGTCCAGGTCATGCAAGGTTTCTTTGTGGTGGTGGTGGTGGTGGTGGTCCGGTGGAAGCCATTCTTATGGAACAATAGATACCAATATACACGGTGTAGCCAGGAGGGGTGTAACTGACGCGGGTAGGTCAAGGGGCTTGAACACTCCCGCGGCGGGGCACGTCATAGTACATTAAACCAATCACAGCAAGCGGGGAGGGAGGTAAGGATGCTTGGCCCAATCACAGTCCGATACGTCATATGACGTCACCGATAACGCAACAAAGACATACACTGCGCAACCTACTTGCGCCGCCGACCCAACATGGCGGGAGAGGGTGGGAGAGATGGCGGTAGGTTTGGGTCCAAAAATGGCGTGGCGCGAGAGGCCCGCCAGCCGCTCTCCGCGTAAAAGGGTACACACACTGCGTAAAGTGAGCATTCTGTGTTCGGCAGGGTACAGCGTAAATGTGGAAACGCGTAAAGTGAAACCGCATAAAGCGAGGGTTTACTGTATTGGGGACATTTTCTTATACGACTTTGGGTCAGCATGGCGACCAAAACACATTTTCTTTGTGAGTCGTTTAGATCGTTGCGACTATTCTGGGCGGAAGTAGATGCCTCAGATGGTCGTAAGTGAGCATCTTGAAACTTCTTTTGGGAATAAATTTGTTTAGGATTGAAAGATCCAAAATCCATCTTAATATGTCGCTGCCTTTCTTGCGGACTGAGAATAGGCGAGACATGAAACATTTCTCTGACACCTCTGTTTAGTAGTTGACTTACAAATTTTGTAAGTAATGGGGTTGGTTTTTTACCCTTCTTTGGGGATACTAGGGGAGGGCGCCTCAACCAAGTCCATGTGAAACCCCCTTTGATTGTTTTGTAAGCCATTTGATAAAGCCTTGGGTTCAAGGTAATATTAAAACCCCAAGCCAGAGGGTCAACCAACGCTGATTTATAAGATGCAATTGTCGATCCTTGAAGGCCTTTAACTCTGAACAGAAATTCTAAAAATTCTCATACAACTGTTTCCGATAATGAATCCGGAGTTGTTAACTTGCTAAATTGTTGAAAAAGATTCCAAGCTTTTTCATATTGAATAGAAGTTTGGGGGTCTATGACCTGCTAATACTTTATTAACTATATTGGAATTACCCAACAACCTATTAAAACTTTTTTTGAGAAACTCCAAGTGTGAAGTGCCAGGCACCAAGGTTGTAGGATCCAATATGGTGCAATTAAGAGGACTTTGCCTCGGAAGGATCTGAGTTTGTGAACTACTATGGGCAATATTTTCACAGGTGGGAATGGATAGATTGAATTCCAAAAGTTCCAATCTAATAGGAGGGCATTTCCTAAAAGATTTGACCTTTCCAGAGATGCATAAATTGGCATCTTGTAATTTGTTAGGGAGGCAAACAGATCTATCTGTGGAGTTCCAAACTTCTTCACTAGACTCTTGAACTCCGATACCTTTAGGGACCATTCTGTTTCTGTCGATACTGGCCGGAGACGGGACAGCGCATCTGCCCAATTGTTTTGTACTCCCGGTATATAAGTTGCTTTGAGGTAAAGTGTT